GCTGCTTATAATAAACATATTAAGAAACACGTGAGTTGTCTGACTGAAATGGGAATAATGCCCAGTGTTTTTGTTCTTTTGACTTTAGGGGGCTTCCATCTATTTTTTGTTATTTATAGACTCAGTTTGTTCACATGTAGTTCGTTCAAAATGCTAATTCCTACATCTTTAAATACAGTATGAACAAAACAAAGAAACATGCACAAGTATTTTTCTGTAAGTGAAAACAAAAGTGAATAAATAATGAAAATTAATATATAAATAAATAATTATAAATGTATATTATTAAATAAATGGTGATAATAATCCTTAAAATAAATAGAATAATTAATAAGAATGTATTTTAATTGCACACAGTTACTTTTCTTTTTATATTTTATACCTGTATTTTAATAGAATTTAAATGTAATTTTCGAATCCGTTTCTTGAACATATGTCTACATTTCAATGTGTGGTTGTAAAGCACTTTGAATTGCCTTGATGTTGAGATGTAGCAATACATTCCTTCAAAAAGTATTTTATGCGACTGCATTTTAAATGTTACACAATCTGAGGTCAATGTGAACCAACATCCTGTTTTTGGTTGTTGTTTTTTATATTCCCTCCCCCCTTTTTATAATATCCATAACGGTAGAGGAATCAGAGCTTAATTTAATCCCGTCTCTGCTCACTTGGCAGCACAGAGCTCTGAGCGCTGCTGATAAATGAACAACATCCTAAACTCAAACAGCAGCCAAACATGTATGGATGCAGAGCTAAAAGATTCTCTGAAAAAATAATTTAAATGCAGTTTGAAACCAGACAGTGACCCTGAAAGTGAGAGGACAGTCGAGAAAGCAAAAGCCATGAAAGTATTTCAACATAAAATGAAAAAGAGAAAAGTCTGAGAAAAAACCAGTCAGTGTGTTTCAGTGTTTAAATATAAGAGTGTTATTCAAAGCGCTGTAAAAGAGCCTTTTGTGTCCCTTTATAAGGTTTCTCCACTGTCCATTTCCTTTTTCTGACTGAAGGCCTCGGTGCTTTGTGCGTTTATTGGCAGGCTCGACGAATACTTTGACGGTATTACAATTCTCCTGAGAGAAAAGCCTTCAGTATTCACAGAGAGACTTCCTGAGGCACACATTCAGCGCTTCGGTTTAAGCCAATTTGAAATATATCCTTTGATCTTAAACGTTAGCAGAACAAAAACACATTTCAACAAGATAAAAAATACTTTATAATATCATTTAAAAGGTCCCCTGTTATACGGTTTTTCCTCAACATATTATAGGTCTCAGATAAACACAAAACATGTCTCTGAAGTGTTTGGCTCCAAACACCAAACGTCTGTTTGTATATACTGTATGAATTTTCTTTTCCCTTGTGGACCTGTTTTTTTTGTATTAATACTTACCGCGAAATTTCAAGTGGATAAGTAGCGTTTTTAGGGTGAAACAGTACGAGAAAAAGGATTTGTAGTTGTACAACAGGGGAGGACCCCACATGTTCTCTGTTGAGACTTTGGTCGAAAGTCTTGTTTCCTAAGAGAGAGAAAGTAAACATGAGCTTAAGGGTAAGGATATTTTTGAAGGACTTTTACTCGGACTGAGTCTAAAAAACCGGGTTGGAAACAACTACAGGTATTGGCTAAAAACAAACCGAAACACATTTGGTAATCGGTTAGTCGTGGTTCCATTGGGGGGTGGATAGTGGACTTAGAGGAGGATCTCGTGGGTAACTCAAAGAAAATTGGTTTACAGAGAGTCTCCCCGCACCCCTCCCCGAGGAATAAAAAGGTAGATTTCATTGTCTGTCTCTTAGTTCGTGACCTTTGTCCCCGACTTTGTTCCCCGTAAACCCATTCGANGTTGAAAGCGATGGCGCAGCCGATCACTTCCTGCATGTCGGAGCCGATGATGGCGATCTCCACCATCAACCACAGGATGATACGAGGAACCTGACACAACGCACAGGAGAGAGACGTGAGGTGTTAATGTCAGCAGATATTCAGTATTCAAGCTAACAACAGGTTAGTGAGAATTACTGTTAGACGGAAATAACACATAATGGAAATTCAGATATACATTACTCTAAAAGAAGCAATATGGAAGCAGTCAAAGGTCTGAATATTGCAAAGCATTCTGTTTGCATACTTTGTAATATGTATATATTTAGATACTAATGACTTCGTTTGTATCTTTTATCTATCATTTATAGCTGTAATCGTATTTTACAGTGTGTATAGCACATGACACCCTCTGTCCTTACACCCCTGCAGCAGATGAGGAAAAACCTCAACAGAAACCCCTCAGTTAATGGGGACAAAGGCAAGATGACTCCCAGGAAGAACATAAATGCAATAAATGTTGTTTGTATAGATTGAAAATAGAGCTACAGCTGGTCATTCATTCAAGCTTTTTCATTAAACCAACATTAGTTCTGCTAAGAAGGCAAGGCACTGAAGATCTCGTGCAAACAGCCGATGTCTCACCCTGTGGTACTGCCGGTTGCAGACCTCGGCGAGGTGCATCCCCGTGACGACGCCGAGTCGAGCGCCGAGCCGCTGCAGCAGCAGGCCGATGATGGTGGCCGCCAGCAGCACCCAGAGGAGCTGAAAGGAGGGGACAGCTGTTAATGTGACGCTTTCATGAGCTTAACCAAGAGTCAATGCAGTCATTAAAGTTGTGAAATGACAATAGAAAGAATTCATCAGTTTGTAGATGTCAAATCTTCTTTGTAAACCTGAACAAAGCTGGGAAGTTATTTAGCACATTGGATTCAACATGTATTCAAGGAATTATATTATTAGCACATTTTTATTGTTTTCCAGTCATTCACTTCTGTTATTTCAGATACCTGCCGTTCCCCACCTGTGATTGGTCATTTTAAACACAATAGCTAAAGTTTGATAGAAGTATGGTCAATGCTGTTGAGCTGCTTGCCACCTGAACAAAAGAGATATGTGAGGAAAGACGTGTTCATGTCACTGCAGGTGATTCTTTATTGACATTAAGTTGCTACAAAAACTAGAAAACACTCATTTACAAACACCAAAACCACACTTTAAAAAGTATTTGTAAAACCTCAATGTTTCATAATTTGTACAATAATTTCTTAACACATTCTTTTCAACATTTGACTTCTGCAACTTTCTACGGGGTAATTTACAATTTACGACGTTACATTTTTTTTGGCAATGTGTCATTTAAAGAAACGAATAAATCTTTTACGCTCTGTGTTGATGCCATAACATCTGCATCCACTTCCCCTTCTGCAACACGCTCCTGAAGTCTAAACAGTGGAAAGGAAGTGTTGTTTTATTGTTGCATCATCCTCATAAAACATCAATATAATACTTACTTAAAACACAGGATATTGTCTGATAAAGTTGTTTTTGTTATGTCTTAAACACTTTTGGGGAATTAAATCATCCAAAATAGTTTCTGTGCATTTTATCCGAATAATGTTGGGACATTAAGTATTTAAGAAACACAAAAAGGGAGTTTTTGGTCGGTATTTTTGCAGCTTTAAGTGAACTGAAACTGGAGAAGAATGACCCAACATTGGCCTTAGGGTCAGGCGGAGGGCTCGGTCACTCTCTGTGAATATTCACTCCGCCTCTCATTCACTTTATTAAAAGCTCTTTTCACTAATGAATTCAGGAATGTGTTAGCAGCTCTCTCTCAGGACAAAGTTCACCTGTGTTAAACTTTGACCCGCAGTATTGATAGGCTCTCTAATGTCGGGCAAACCTGAGAGGGAATGGAAGTGACCCAGCATTCAGGAAGTGTGAATGGTATTATCTTTTATATGACTGAGTGTTGACAGAACAAAAACAACGAGTGAGAGGGAAGCTGCCTGTCTAACCTTTATTTTACCAGGATAGGTCTCCTTGAGATTAGAAATCTTTTCCACGAGAGTCCTGGCCCAAGACAGGCAGCAGCACAGTTACAGACAACTTAAAACAGTAACCCACAATCATAATCACAATCATAACCCAATGTGCTAATACTCATTGTGCAATAACAGGCTTACAACATTACATATTATTTGTACCTTGTCACTTCTGGTCTGAGTTTCATAACCTTATGTGATTGGGTGTGACAATAGAAATGAGTGGTGAGGGAAACATTTATTAATGCAAGAATCAAAATTCCTACCTCCCTCAAATTCCTAATGGATTCACACTTTTAAAAAAACGATTTAAGCAGTATTTACACTGTTACTCCACCTATGTTTCGATAAAGTGAAGATTTGTTTAGCCTACGTTTGATACATGCCCTGATAGAATAACTGTATGCTGTTGAAAAACAAAGCGAAAACGATTTTAAAAGCTTTTCTCTCAATAGAGCCTAGACAGTGTTACTGATGGACAGTAATCCTCCACACTGAGTCACAGTGTCTGTTATGTGGTCTAAACATGGCGTTAGTTACCTTAAAGCCAGCTTTAGCTCCAGACTGCAGGTCCGACTCGATGTTCCCGGGGTCCAGGTAGGCGATGCTCATCAGGAAGCCCGGCCCCGTGAAGGCCCACAGCTTCCTGAAACTGAAGCACTTCTGCAGGACACAGAGAAATAAAGTTAGCACTCTAATCTTAACTCAAGGAAAGTAGTACAATTACAGGGTATACATATTATGTTACTGGCAAAAGTCCTGCATTAAAAATGTTAAGTAAAGGTAAAAACGTGGTAGCATCAAAACACAGAAAAAGCATCAAAACAAGAAGTATTGATTCTGTATTGATTCCATTGCAGAAAAATGTATATTGATTTTAATTATTAATGCATTATTGTGTTGATCACTTAACTGTTGCAGCTGGTAATTAAGGAGCCTTATTTAATGACTAGGGGTTAACTTGTAATTAATCAAGATATCAAATAAATGTATCTTAACATATAAAACATGACCAATAATTTAATGATTAAAATGTGATATACATCTGTAATAGTAGTATTAACTGAAGCTTGAATAAAACTGCAATTGTGTTGCAGAAGTACCCCAAATTGTAATTAATCCAGTACTTTTGTAAATGTACGTTATTCGCCTTTGTAACACTGACAACATCAAACAGTTCATACTTTATTGCTTGCTTATAAATGTAGCAAAAACATTCTTTAAATCTCTAAAATGATTTGTCTTTCTTTGCTTTGTCTTTGATTACAGTTTTTCTTATTTGGTGCTTCGCATTGATTTACCTCGCTGTCCTCCTCGGGAACAGGGACCTTTTGTTCAAAGTAGGTACTAGAAACCGGTTCATTATTCTGGTTCTGGAGGAAGACTGAGGGGGCGGAGCCTCTGTGTGTGTGCGTCGTCTGGATCACTGATTTCTCTCCCTCCATGTCCTCGACTGAAATATCTTAGAAAACAAAAACTACACATCACAAATCATACACTGCGGTAAACACACACATATCCACAGTAAATGACTCCAACACATTGAGACAGTTGATGTCGGCACCTGCGTCGTGAAGAGGCAGTTTCTGTTCATTAGCATAGCAAAGTAACACTTGTTTTTTTTAACTCTGATGTGTGTTTTGGGTGCAAGACAACATCCTGTATGAGCAGCTGAGTCTTTATTAATGCACAACTGAGCCTGTAAAGCTCAGGTTAGATGATGATAGAGAAAGATGAGGTAATCAAACCCATTCTTAATTAGAAATGGAAATACAATTTACGCATATGTGAAGCTTTTCAGGTTTTTTTAATGTAAAATCTGAATCTGAACTAACTTCACTTCATACTCAAGTAAAGAAAATTCACCACAAAAGTGTACCTAAGTGCAGTACTAGAGTTAATTTACTTTATAGTATACATCATTTATAAAAAATGAGATTAGATTAAACTTTGTTGTCATGGAAAATGCAGTTTAGCATCTAACCAAAGGTGCAGACACCAGTGAATAGCAAAGTTATGTACAGAGTAACGTACACGATAAGCAGTAAATAACTCAAATGTTCCCGTAAGAAACTGAACTAAAATGAATCATTCTAAGAGTCTACAGCCATGCTAGCGGGGGCACAAAGCCCATCAATGAATACGCTAACATGGTGATGTTTAACACGTTAAACATCTGTCTTTTAATCATTAAATAATACGAGAATTAACGTACAACTCATCTAACTTCTGGACAAACAGGTATGATTGGATTGTATTAAAAGCTGAGCTAAAATCTACAAATAAAACACCTTTATCCCTCGAGGTCGTCTTAATGTTTGCTGATCACATCATTTTAAAACTCATTCTATTGCTATTATTTTCCTGTGTAAAACACTCTAAATTGCCTCTGAGTTGTAAATGCGCATTATAGGCTTCCTGGAAATACAATTTAATTGCCCGGTAGATGTCAAGGTAAAACGTTTAACAGCTGGTGTTAAATGTAAGGTCACAGGATCACTAAGGTCACCAGGATTCATCATTCATTCAGGATTCATTTGGAATATATGCTGAAATGTAATGGCAGTGGTTGAGATATTTTAGATATATCAGTCAGGACCAAAGCAGTGACCCACCATCATTTCTATCAAGAAAGTCATGTTGCCTTGAAGGGGCTCTATTATGTATTTATATATTCTTCTCTTTCCTGTAGTGTGTTATATACGTTTTGGTGCATGTAAATGGTCTGCAAAGACTCAAATCCCCTAAAAGCCGTAAACGCCATTGGACAGCACGTGCACATTGTAAGTGATGCTAAGGGGCGGGACATCTCTAAGTTAACCAATCAGAGCAGACTGCGCTCTGGTTTCAGACAGAGGGTGAACAGAGGTGCTGCAGCACAAGCAGTATGAGAAGAGCTTTTTGAAAATGAAAGCATGGAGACATGTCACAGTAGAGGCAAAAATAAAAACATGAACCTGAAAATTATGCTTTAGTGTGCAGGAACAAAACAAAAACATAAGTTGTCAACAAGCAAACATCCTCACCTTGTCCTCCGTTCTGCTCTGGCTCCTGGTCTGTGGGAACACTGGGAGGCAGAGAGGAGATGTGGATATCCTCCGGAGGACGGTCTCTCACTGCAGGCAAACGGGTAATCAAACTGAGATTATAATGACCACCTATTTCATCACAGAGCACACGGAACTAAATATTCACATTCAGACAAATCATGAGAAAAAAGTGGAAAGATAATCACCTCATTATTGTAAAGTAAAGTTATAATGTCAGTCATTTGTTCTTGTCGGAAAGTATTTCACCTCTGAAACAGGTACTTTTTTGTGTTTTTTAAGGGGTCACTTGTATGGCATGACAGTATACTCACATACTGTACATAAATACAAATGTAGGTACTTTTACTCCACAAAAATAATGTGCAATTCTTATATAACTATTTAACAGCCTAAGGTTATTAATATAAGTATAATTAAATAATAACATATGATGTATTATTAATGATGAAGCTACCCGGCAGCACAAGATGTATTTCAAATTAGCTATATATAATGGATTAATCTAAAATGGACCATCCTGCATAATGAGTACTTTTACTTTACTTTACTTTATATTTTGATGATAATACTTTTACTAAAGTAAGATTTAAAGTAGGGCTGCTCAATTAATCATATTTTAAATCGCAATTACGATGTTGGCTTGCAACGATTATGAAAACAACATAATCGAAATAAAAGTTAAAAAAATTTTTTTTATTGGTTTTTCAGTTTAATTATACTTAAAGTTCAGGGTAATCAATTGTTAAAAACTTAAAGTTCACATTTTTTTTTCAATAAATGGATGTTTTCAAAGTAAATATTATTGTTTTTAATAATCGCGATATTAATTATTGACCAAAATAATCGAGATTATGATTTTTGCCATAATCACACAGCCCTCATTTAAAGGCAGAACCTGTACCTGTAATAAAGTAATGCTACTTGTAAGTAAGTAATACTCTGAGTACTTCTTTCTGTGCCATCTGAGTGTGATGCAGCCTCACCTCAGCAGAACAGTGACTTTCTGTGAGATTTTTATGGGGACGTTAGATTACGCCTCAGGAAATGACGGATCCCATTGAGCACGATGAGCTCAATGTGAACTTTGTTACCCTATAAATCCTTTTACATAAATCAGGGGAAGTGTGAGAAGAAGAGTCATCTCAGGTAAAAGTAGGTAAATGTGACCCCTTTAGACAGAAAATAACGATTCAAAACTTATCAGACTTTTTTAAAATGTAAAATAGAAAGTGGGCATATAATTTAGGAGTAAAGAGTACAAGTTCCCTCCAAAATGTAGCGGGGTAGTAGAAAGTACCAAAACAAATAAAGTACAAGTACCTCAAATGTGAACTTGATATTTACAGTTTTCAACATATTATTTTGGATGTGTTCATTTAAATAGCATACATTAAGCAAAGATGTTTTTTTTTCAATTTTGGAAGCTAAACCTCAGCTCCTATAATAAGTCTATAACATATAGTGAGAGTGTGAAATACAGATACCCAGATTCTAAAGTACAAAATGTCCCCATTGAAACTCATTGAAACCACAATGTGTACACCATAACAGCAAAACAACATGTATTATATTAATCCAGGCTTTAATCTAGAATACAGACTTCCTAATTGTACTGTTTACTATTATTTTAACTATGATTTAGCCATTTTCTTATGTGTGTCTTATGGGACAGAAACATAGGCCTACATATACATATTTCCTTGGTTCCCAATGGGTAATGTCTGCTGTATGAAGTGTATGATGCAATGCATTAAACAATGTCATATCATTAAATCATTGACATCATTAAATAGATAACCTACTATTGAGTATAAAGTAATTTCGTGTGGCTTTAATTCACACTTGGTAGTTATGAAAAGATCCAGGACTGAAGTATTTAACTATATTTGTTCCTATTAGGACATCAGAGCAACTTCTTTTTGTATATGGCAAGGAACAAGAGGTTTAGCAGATTACTTTAAACGTGTAACTCCCCTTTTGTTTGCTTTAGGCTACAAATAGTGTTGCGACATTTCATCAAACGGACTTACCTGACCGCAGGAAGGAAAACATCTTCCTCCTCTGTGTCATTTTCGGGCTGTTTAATCTATATTAAAAAAAGGTCTAAAACTTCAATCGAAACTCCTCTCCGGTGTGATGTGACTCATGCTGTCCCCTCTCGGTTCCCAGGTGTTTCAGTGGAGCACAGCGGCAGGTTGGACACCGTCCCTCCGGTGTGAGGAGCAGACTCACCGGACAGGTAAGGACGGAGGGTGGCGGGGGAGGAAGCAGACACACACACCTGCAAGTTTCACTAGTTATCCTGAAGTCACATGACCCGGATTCCAAAGTGAAACAGTCTAAACTGATCCTGGATCAGCCGGAAACTAGACTCACTTATTTCAAAATAAAAGACTGTAAAACACCCTAGTCTAGTAGCAGCAGAAAGGAGTGTCTTTTTAAATATCCTAACAGGATATGTATTGTGAAGAATAAGCTGACCAGAGCAGCAGCAGCCACTGGGTGGAGACAAATACTTACTGAACTATTCTTTGACACATTTCGTTTACAAACAAGGTTTTATTTATCGTGTACATGGGATGTAAACTGAGGTGTTTTTCTACTGGTTATTCAGTGTATTTATATATATCTTTATCATATTTTGACTTTGGGATGTATGTATTACTTCCTCTTATGTTATTAAAGTAATGTAATAGTTATTTTGTGTAAAACCTACGATAAAAGCTGAAAATATGAGTTGAGATTTTTGTTTTCAGGCTTCATTGATTATCCTTGGGAGCCCAGATAGTCATACGAAATGTATCAGTTTTAATGTTGGTGTCTGGATTTAACCAGATTTTTTTTTACTTTACTTGAATTGATCGATTGAATCTGAGCAGCTTGAATACAATTTTTTATATATTTGACGCTTAAAACAACATAAAATCAGTTTTACTTGGGCTGCAACTAATTAAGATTTTTCATTTCTGGTTAATAGACCAACTACTTTCCCAATTAATTAGTGTAAGATCCAAAAATAGGCAAAAATATCCACTTGTTTCCCAAAATAACTATCGTGTGCTATTTAACACCACCCAATAGTCTTTTTACTATTCAATAAAACAAAATATAAATATTAGAGAGGCTACACCCAGAGAATAATTTGATTTTTTGTGCATGAAAATAGCTCAAGTGGACTCTATGAATTGCCTACTTGATGCAGCTTTACTCTGATTAAATGTAATCTGTTTTCGAGGGGTTTTAGTCAGATTAAAGGGGCGCTATTTTTGCTTTTTGGGGGTTTTCCCTTTCCTGTGGTGTTTTATATGGCTTTAGTGCATGTGAATGGTCTGCAAAGGTTAAAATCCCAAAGTTCCCTCCAAAGGGAGTTTCTCTCCCGCACACCCCCCCCCCCCCCTCCCTGCCTGACATGCCTCCTTTGTTTATTGCTTTAACACAGTGACATCGCTATGTAACACTTGCGCTTCTATTAGCTAGCGCTCCAACACATTGTAAGGCTAAGGGTCAGGAAATCTCTATGTTGTTGACTAATCACAACAGAGCCGGCCAGCTAACCAATCAGAGCAGACTGGGCTCTGGTTTCAGACAGAGGGTGAAAAAAGGTGCTGCAGCACAGGCAGTATGAGGAAATAAAGAGCTTTTTGAACATTAAATAAAAAAGATGTTAGAGGCACAAAATACGATTACGAAACCTGAAAATTAGCAAAACAGGGCCCTTTTAAACAAGGTAATAAATAAAAATCCTTTTTGCAGTTGATGACGCTGAAACAACATATCATCACTTACAGCAGACAACGACACCCTGCAGGCCACGCATGCTTTAAGCTTCAGGAAAAGAAGAGACAGAGTGAGAATGAGTAGTAAGAGATCGTCTGATCCCCATTTTTAATCCAATAGTTTACTTATTATCAAATCTGAATCAGCACACAGCAGCAACAATCTGTATTTTAGCTGAAATAGCTGTAACACACTGCCATTTGTCATGTTGACAAAAAGTGGGTGCAATGAAATCAGATGTTTCTAAAGTGTTTATTTTTTGCAAGCACCATTCGAAATAGAGCAACTTTGTCATGTGCTTATGTTATGTGATGAAGAATAAATTATATACCCATGCAAAATTCCCTGTGAAATGTACATACGTATCTTTATTGCAGAAAGGTTAAGTGTCACTGAAATTCTTTTTTATCTTTTTATTTTTTTTACTTGTTATGACTTATTGTTCTGTTGTCGCCCCTGTGTTTCTCCCTCGTGTTGTTTGTTTCAGTTTTCGGTCTTTTTTTTAACCAGCATTGGTTATCTTGTAGAAATGTTAAAGATCATTACACATAGTCGTCTGAAAATGCTTGGCATGTATGGAGTTACATTGTTTCCTCTGAAATCATACATCCGTACAAAATCAAAATGAGTAAAAAACAAACCAAAAAAAGAGAAGATACAAATCAAACCAAGAGGTTAAAATCAAAGAAACATGTCTTTGTGCATCCTGATATTGAACTGGAAAAAACGTCTCGTCATCTTGGATTAGGTTATAAAGCCTGTTACACTTTTTTTCCTGCATACATTTCATTTTCATGTCTTTTTAATGCATCCATCAGTTCTTTAATTATTGAAAAGGAGAATCTGGCCTCTTACAAAACACGAGGAGGGATCCTCAAGTGTCTGTCGACGAGGCGTCACTCACATGAGTCTGTAGTTCTTTAATAATAGGTCCACGAGGCTCATTTACATCAGGTGTATCCCACCACGCATGCCCCGGTGCTTCTCATACGGTGGTGACCCTCATCACCACCTCCCTGCTGGCGACGGCGCTGATCCGCGGGTCGTGAGGCCGCAGTTGGCTGAGGATGTGCAAGATGGTGTATCCACAGTGGTGGTTCAGAATAGTTCTTAACCTCCTGCTCTGTCGCCCCGCGCTACTGCTGGCCAGACCGTGAGGGTTTCCGCGGGATCCGGGCGCCCCCGTCTTTCTGTTCGAGCTCAGCGGGTCGCCCAGGTCCTTTGATTTCTCATAGTTCAGTACTTTCCACTGCTGATTGACAGCCTGCCACCGTTTGAAGATCCGATACACTGACGATCCCTCGTGGATAATGAGGCCTGGGAGGGGAGAAGAAGGAGAAGGGTGAAGGAGAGTGCATCAATGAATCCCCTCTGCTTAACCTCAACAGTCAGCTGTAAGTGCACAAATGTGTTTTGTCATGGACTACGTGTGTCTATCCGATGTAGCTTTATAAAATCCTTTTTGAGGTCCATTTTAGAGTTGAGGGGGGGAACAAAAACCTAGTTCCACATGTGTCAAGCGGGTAAATCTAAAGAGATGATGCTGGATGTGATAAAACTTAAAACTGAACTGTAGGAAAAAACCTTGTGTCTCCACAGCTAGTCTAGCAGCTTCCACTAAACTCCATACATCCACAGCATCACTGAAATAAATGCACCAGGGAGCGATCTCTTACAGAAAAAGTAAACCATTACATATGAATACAAGTCTAATCTAGACTTACAATAATAAACTTAAGGGGCCCTTTTATGCTTTGTGGCATTACCCATTTCATGGGATGTGCTATATAATTATTGGTGCATGTAAATAGTCTGTAAATGGTAACATTTTCCGCAACATCACTACATAACACTGGCGCTTCTATTGGCTAGCGCTCCAACAAATTGTACGTGATAGGTTAAGTGGCGAGACATCTCTAAGCGGTTGACCAATCACAACAGAGCCGGCCAGCTAACCAATCAAAGCAAACAGGGCTCTGGTTTCAGACAGAGGGTGAAAAGAGGTGCTGCAGCACAGGCAGTATGAGAAAAATAAAGAGCTTTTTGAACATCAATGCATGGAGACAAGTCACAGTAGAGACACTATACATACAAATATAAACTTGAAAATGAGCAGAATATGTCCTCTTTAATAGATCCAAATCTACATATTTTAGGAAAAGAATAAGAAAACGGTGGGTTACGTATTGTAACCCTAGTTATATAAGCACAGGCGGAGCCCTCTACTGGACTCTATGGGTACTACCTCTCAACCATACTATGTGAGCATTCATCAACTGAGATATCTATAACCGGGGCAGGCCTACCTGAATGCGCACGCAAGCCCACCTACATAAGGCGGCCTCGCCTCCTGACTGTCATCCTACACTTCTCTTCAGCAAGCGGCAAAGGACAGGCAGGGCCCCGTGTAGAGGGCTCCGCCTGTGCTTATATAACTAGGGTTACAATACGTAACCCAGCGTTATAACCTCACACAGGCTCCGCCCTCTACTGGACTCTTATGGGTACACGTGGTGGAGCCCTGATGCCTAACGCCCTGATCGTCCAACACAACATCCGAGTCACACACCTGCCCCTGACCGGCTTTTGGCTAACAGCACTGCACCGCAACCTCCTCTCCTCCGGTTGTGGACCGGGAGAAGTGGGGGCCGCAGTTTACGCTGGCTGGTGGCCACACTCAGACACGATTACCTCGTGAATAGTGTGCCTGGAAAACGTGAGAAGGGTATGGGACACATAAGGTGCACTAATGTCCATGGGGGGGCAGATACCTGCTGACCGCACAGCCCTCCCCCCTCACTGCAGTACCTGTGTTGCCGCAGCAAGCACAGATGATGAGAAGCGAGCCCAGACATGTCTTAGCGCTCAGTTGTTCCGTTGCTCGCTGAGAAAAAAAGGATGACAGTCAGGAGGCGAGGTCCCGCCTTATATACGGTGGGGCTTGTGCACGCATTCAGGTAGGCTCCCGCCCAGGGGGCGGCTACGGTTATAGATACTCAGTTGATGAATGCTCCGCATAGTATGGTTTGAGTAGGTAGTAACCATAGAGTCAGTAGAGGGCGGAGCCTGTGTGAGATATAACTAAGGTACGTTCTTGTATCATACACCAGCCCTTAAAAAAGCTCAACTCACACAGGCAAAAGAAAGTTCCCACTATGATGCTGAGCTTTTTAAGGCTGGTGTATGAGACAGAAGTACCTTAGTTATTATCTCACACAGCCCGCTCCGCCTCTACCTGGACTCTATGGTTACTACCTCTCAACCCATACTATGCGAGCATTCATCACACTGAGATATCTATAACCCGTAGCCGGCCCCCTGGGGCGGGCTACCCTGATGCGTGCACAGCCACCGCTATATCAAGGCGGCCTCGCTCCTGACTGGTCATCCTTTTTTCTTCAGCGAGCAGGGAACAACTGAGCGCTAAGAATGTCTGCGCTCCCCCCTTCTCATCATCTGTGCTTGCTGCGGCAGAGCACGGAACTGTGAGGGGGAGGGGCTGTGGGTCA